GGCAAAATAAGGAAACGACATGTGCTTGTTGTCATGAAGTCGGTTGTTCACATGGCAAACGCCGTGCTGTATACGTTATCCATCAGTAACTCTTGGAGCAACATCCCCATCTAGCCTTCTTTTTCAGGGTGCCGTCCTTGAACAGGATTTTGTGCAACATTGTGCAGCCAAATCTTGTGAAGCTCTGTGACTGAACATGCCAGGCTCAGCCCCGTTCCAACATGTTTTTTGATGAACTGCACGGACTCGCCATCTGCTCTGCTGCTGAGCATTGGTCCTAGTGCTACTGAAGTTGATGGTTATATAATGGTTGCGCTTGCTTCAGGGTTAGAAGGAAACTTCTGAAACACAGTCCGATGACAAAGCCAGGGCAAAGCGTGGCTACGTCAATCTTCAGCCTAGTGCAAAACGCTGTTGGTTCCAATCCAGAAGCTTGGCACGATGGCTGGTCTCTGTACACTTTTAGTGAGAAAATCTACTTGCAGTAAGGCTCAGGCTCTTCGGACAGCTCCCAAGCTTTCTTTTCTGCCAAGACCTTTGAAACCCTGTAACCTGGCAATAGTCCATCTTTGGGTCATTCACATCAGTCATCTACAGCACTATATCCACACACGCATGCCAAAGGATCAGCCACACTCTATCGGAATTTCGAGTGCAATGATATAATTACTTGACAGGTGCTTCTCTTGCTGCTGTACCCTGAGCTATGCCTTTCACCGGGTTATCAGGCTCGTCATCGTTCCAGTCTTCCTCATTCCAGACCTGCTTTGACAGCAAATGACTGAGGCTGCAAATGCACACCATTTCATGTTAGGAGCTCCTCAGTGCTCAGTGTAAGCCATTTCTAAGCAGGAGTTGAAACATCCTGAAGAGTACAACACCGGAAGTTAAGTTACGGCCGCGGAGAAAAGCCACTTGATTCAAAATATACTCCGGTAGACCGGTTGAGATCGGTTGATGTCTAGAGGTTTGACAATTTGTCGCCTTGCTGTCGTCGCCGCCTGCCTCCCATCGGAAATGGGAGAGTTGGATGTGCTACGAATAGGAGAAACATGACATGAGAAAGGTGGATGTCTTTCAGCGACGCTACTAGGGGCTCCTGGCCGTACTACTAGTAACAAGGAAGCTATTAGAAACAATACATAAATATCAATATATAGAATTAAAATAGAATTAAGTTTCAATTGTCCGCCTCCATCCACTTCATGGGCGGGCCGACAGCAGCAATGGAGGAAGTGACAACAACCCGGCTGATGTTGGCCTCACGACTCTTAGTCTTACTCCAGCTTGAAGTACCAGTAGCAACCACAACATCCAACAATCCCTGGCAAAACTGCGTTGTTGATTCTGATAAGCATTAGCATGACATGGCAGGCACGGGCCTTGGCTGCTGCTTTCATCACGGCCTGGAACACTTTAAATAGTGGGGTAGACGAAAGCAATATGAAGCAAGGTTCTTGGGATTCAAACAAGGTGCCAACATATTCAACAATTGCTGAGATTAGGGGATCAAATGATTGTGTGAGATAAGTTGAGCGGTCCGGTGGCCAAAAGGCTCAAGCCAGCCATGCAGTTGAAATCATCTGAAGCAGGTGGGATGAAATGAGATGCAGACTGTTGAGGTGAAATGAATGACGGAGACAATGCGACCTTTCTTAAAGAGTCAACCAACGGCTAGGCTACAACATGCCAAAAGAAAGCCACCGTTTGCAAACGGCCCCTTCCATGCTACTCATACTCAACATCACATTGACCTGAGGCAATTGTCAGCAATGGTAAGGCTCAACTTGCTTGAGAGCTACCTCATAAGCCTTCCTCATCAGTAGATTCTATCGAAGGTGAGACTGTTGGCCTCTGTCCCCTTCACTGCCGGCTCGATAAGCTCTTTCTGGACGTCTTTTGCGTCCAACCTGTGCCACATCATAGTCGGACGACCGCTTTGTAATTAGTACCTCAAATTAGCATGCACCTGCTGCAACATGAAGTGCCAAAGAACATCTTACCGGTCCTAACACATTGTAACAGTCTTCTTGGTAAAGGGGACCAGGCGTAGTCTCAGCTCAGGGCTTGAAAGGCGAGGCACAATGGATGACATATTTGCAGCCTTCCATCGCCTGGAGTTTCAAGAATCTAAACCTTGAACTTCCTCAGCTCCTCAAACATCTATTCTGCAGGGAAGATTTCGGCAAATTCCGTTGCGAACATTCGGCAGCAACTTGTTGTAGTTGGTTCAACAGCTTGCTGAACCTTCGCAAAGCTGTCTTCACCCCCAAGAAGGTCAGCCTGGCAGGCGAGTAGCATCCAGGCCCCATCTTCAATGAGCAGAAACCTCATCTTGGTTGAAGATATTACGACCAAATGAGAGATCCCTACGATGGTGGCCAAATCCTTGAGAAACATGAGCAATTGATATAATTGATATGACATGATATGCGTTGTGAGTGTATTGCCTGTATCGCTGCATCTGTGTGCTTGGCCTCACAAAGCTCCAACGAGGGGAAAAGCCTCTTCATGGCCATTACCTTGGTCCCACTCGGAACTGACGGAGTCTGTACTCTTCTTTGCGGCGGGAGGAATGGTGAAAAGACTGACCTATCTCGCTGAAAACACAAGACGACACGAGTACTTAGGACTTAGGACAAACATTTGTTGTCGCCATACTTCCGTGGAGAAGAATCAACATTGTGCACATCAAATCATTAATGTTAATAGGGCATCCGACCTGGCTATGAGTTATTAGTATTGAGATGCATTGAGGCTTGCACCAGATTCTTGTAGAAGAAAACGGAGCGTGTTTTTGTCAACTTCGTCACTGTCCGCTCGTCCGGATCTCAGACCGAAGCCCTGGAATCGCTTGGATCCACCGAGCGCATGGTACCCTTCACCTTCCGAAACGTCCGGACTTCAACTGGTGACTTCATGACTTTTTGAGACTCATCAACTCAAGTAGACTACACAATATAATACAATATATAGATGTGATTTTCATGAAGCCACGGAGATGTGCCTTGTGTTTTCCCACAAACACACCAGCAAATACCACTCTCAGAATTAATTTTCAGAACTGTCACGTGCCACACATGCAACAGATCTCATAGGTTCAATTCGCAACTGAGTGCCTTGTAACCATCCTGAAGCAGTCTGCGCACAACGCTCCTGACAAACACCAGTGAATGATGACTACTTCGTTTGCCAAGACATCAATGGCCCTTCCACCAAGGATGGCACGTTGCCACATACCCTGCACAACCCGTGACTAGCACAGTAGGCTTCACCTGGACGGCTTTGGAGCGCCACTGCGAGATTGCAACTAACTAGAGTCATCAAGGCTTTTCTTTTAAAGCCGGCTCCTACTTAATTGACCAAAGGGGTCACAAGTTTGGGGCCTGAATCCACTTCTCAGAGGCGCTTCCACCCTGGCACAAGAATCGCGCAGCACAAAGAAAAGACCTCAACATTTCACGGACACTACTAGGGGCTCCTGGCATCGCTACTAGGAGCAAGGACGCTACTAGGGGCTCCTGGCCTTACTACTAGGAACAAGAAGCTACTAGATTTTGATCGTTTACACTTGTGCAACTACTTATTTACACTTCAAAGCAAAGATCGTATTGACAGCCTTTGGGGCCGCTTTGCCCTTTCCGGAGCCTCGAGGTGGTGCGTTGACTCAAACAGAGTTAATTGAATTCTTTGCATCGATCTGGGCCGTCTCAAAATACTTTCAACAGAAAAGTCATGCTTCAAAAGTAGGTTACCGGCCTTTTGTAGAGGTGCCCTGCCAGTCAACAAGTTGATTTGAGGTGGCTGGGGTTTGTGGCACAGGGCTCTTCACTCAGTCAGCCATTGGAGCTATAATCTACGTGTAGGCAAGGAGCACAAATGCAAGACATGCAAGCGAGGGCAAATTCAGTGAAGACGTCCCGAGCAAAACGAGCAAAAGTGTCGCAAGGTTGTGGAAGCTTCTTAACATACTGGAGTTTGCATTCATGATGATGGTGCAGCTAGACACACCTAGCCTGTTTGGCTTTAAGCTGCATGAAACGATATACTCTGCATTTGCTTGTTCAACTGCAAAGTCTTACTGGTCTGCCACAATCCTCTACAGTAATCCACGAACGCTGCTCATACCGTTTGACATTCCTTGTTCTTCATCAACACCAGCAAAGGAGGCTATGTTGATGCTTTGCCCATGAAGGGGACTTGGTTGAAGCTCTCTTGGGCATTTCTGCGTCACTCACTTTGGGTAACCTGAGCAGTCATTTAGCTCGCAGTGACCAGCATCTTCGGGCATCTTCGGGCACAGGGCACCGTGAGCTTTGTGTGACAGGGAATTTGAAACCTGAGTTTGTGTGGCAAGTCTTGAACCATGGAACGGAGCATGACCAGCTCTGCACACTTGGCAGCACTGGAAGCTTATTCAGCTTGAGCTTGGAGCTGCAAAGCACTTCCAAGAGTAGACCATGTTAGACGTATTAGCACCATAGGGTGCGCCTAAGTTGTCAGGTCTATTGCGATCCCGTTCCAAATCTATGGTGTTTGTGTGAGTGTGTGCCACCAGCCCTGCCTTGCCACCTTTGCCTCGCGCAGGCAAGCATTCAGAAAACTCACAGGCTCCAACAAATGGATAAGAACTGGCTTTGATCGCTGCATGGGTTCTTCACGTTTGGCCCTACCTTCCATGACAGTGTTACCGCCGGGACTCTCCCCGGCCTTTGGTAGCTTTGCCCTTTACACCTTTGCCTTTGCCCTTGGGAGCACCCATGGCGGCAAACGCTGCAAACGCGGAGATGATCAGCTCAAAGCTGCAGCGACTCCAAGTATGCAAGATCTGTGCGTGGACAGCCTTTAAGAACAACATGTTACCATTCAGCGTGCTCCAATACCTTGGGATATCTTTTCGCAAAAAAAACGCCTGTCATTGCAATACCTTGCGACACGAAGCACAATGGCGTTGGCCAAGAGCAAACTGATCCAAAGGTTCATCTAATCTTTTTTGCTTTGCGGGCAAACGCTGCCGTTGCTTATCCACTCACAGTAGCCACCTGGGCAAAACTCCATCTGGTCTTTGGACAACAGTTGCATCATCACAGAGATCGATGCAAGGCAAGCAACAGAACTATGCAGCGACCTGAATGCCTTCAATGGAACCTCTTACTGATTCAAAACACAACTGCCTCACCAGTTCAAAACACCATCCTTTGGAACGGACTGCTTTTACCTCTCGCGCCATTGCTGAAACATTTGCCACAGCTGAGAACCTTGAACATCTAATTTGGGCTGCCAGCAGCTGACAGATGCAATGATCCGAAACACATCCAGGACCTGACAGCATTGAGCTGCTGCAAAGCTTAAAATAGTACAAGGGCATCTGAAGCTGGATGTACTTTACTCATCCAAAGCAGGGCCAACAGCCTTTTGGCAGCTCTGAACACTCTCTACATCTGGGCCGAAATGTGTTTTTGTAAAACACAAGAGCAGAAGTGTGGCCAAGCTACAAAGCACCAGAAGAGGAGCAGCAGCGATATGCTTCCTAACATTTTAGCTTGGCTGGTTTCGCTTCAGTATGGCTTTGGAAATGAGGGACAGAAAAACCTATGGCACCAACATGACAATTCAAGCAGGTCTCCAACGGACAAGCATAGCTCCACGCGGCTAGCAGCACAGTATCCTTGATACAGTACTTCGTAGATATGTGCCTGAGAATTTGCATTGGGCAGCTCTTGAGATGCTTGAAACTTAGCATGCAAAAGGTGGATCTGTTCGGATTGCATATATATATATATATTGCAATCGGCCTATCCCAAGGCCAACACCGCCCCACCTAGGGACACACCACTACCAAAGTAGCGCCACCTTTTGGCTGCATGCTCGAGCCCCACCGCTGAGGGTAAAAAGGGGCATGTACGTGTCATGTGCAAGAACCGGGTGCTCACATCACCCAAAATCCTGTGACCCTTTTTGGGCCCTTCAGGTAAAGGGTACTGGGGTGCAGGTTCATCTGCGTCCCATGGCCAGTTGAAACGTTCGGCCAACCCCTTCAACTTCTCTACAAACAAATTCTGGGCCTCTCTCAGCCGCTGCTCCATGATCTTCTTGTGCACCTTGCGCCCAGCTTCGAACTTGTCATCATGGGTCAGGCGCCAGTGCTGTCGTTGGCTCAGGAATTGCAAAATGGTCTTCCTGGCCCCGCTCTTGGTGAGGGAATCGCCCAGTTGGGCCAGTCCATTCACCCATCTAAGTTCTGTCTTGGCCTTCAAGGCCTGGTTGACTGCCAAAGTCAGTTCATATCCTGCTCGGCTGTCGCGAAGACCATGCAAGGCAAAGAGGTTGCGGGTCATCGCGTCATAGATCCCTCGAGAATCCATGACCAATGCTCCAGGGACCCTTTTCACGGTCTCGTGGAGCTCAGCCCTCTTCAGCTCCAAGCCACCGAACTCGGCCATCAAAGCTCTCATCTGGTAGTTCTGGTCCTCCCCGATCGTGATGCTCTGCACCTCGGCCCCATTGGAGCCTAAGCATTGTCGTGGCGTCTTGCCACTCTTCAATTGCACCACTGCCACCTGGGTTTCTGCTCCTCCAAGTGCTTCCTTCACCGTGATGCCGGTGATGATGCCCACAGTGCTGGACTTGTCTGGCCTGTTGTGTTGGCTCGCATCTGCCCATGTAATCGCACACAGGTCAGTGATGTCCTTGAACTGCCAACCAGTTGGAAAAATGAGCCCTTGTCCAGCCTCGCGGCGCATCTCGCGGACCAGCTTGTTGACCTTATGCAGTGACTCGATGGTTCCTTTGTTGACTTCACTCAGCAGCAATGAAGTCTCTGCTAGGAACTGTGGCGCCGATTGGGTTGATCGCCATGAGATCGTTCCCAGTGCCGCTCTCATCGAGGAAGTCTCCGCAGGAGTCAGGGGCGTCTTCATTGCCTTACTCTTGTCCACTTCAATCTCTTCGATCCATCTGAGTGTGTAGCTCTCCTGGTTCAAGATGATCGAGCCGTCGTCATTCTGCTTGATCGTGGACCCGGCAAATTCGAAGTCGGTAGTATTCCAACGTCCCCATCGGAATGCCTGGTTCAGCAGCTTCTCGCGGGTCACAAAGAACTCTGAAGTCTCGTCTCCTGCTAGTAGGAAGTCATCCACGTGAAGTCCTGCCAAACCCACTAGCTTCGGAGGTTGTCCGTTGCCACCAGTGCCAGGCTCAAACAACGCAAAGCAACATTTGTCTCCAAGAAGCTGATGCCATTGCCCATCTTTCATGGTTTGCACACATCGCTCCCACCACTTTCTCGGAGCGTGCGCTAGCCCGTAGAAGGCCTCTCGTACTCGGAGAACTCGTTGATCACCCGCTTCCGAGCCAAACATGGCGCTCAACTCTGGCGGTGCCAGGACATTCAGCTCCTCATCCTCCAGACTAATGCCCGTCTGCAAGAAAGCGCTCGTCACGCCGCCGGCCTTGAGCTTGAACCTATAGGCGGCGGCGAGGGTGAGGATCACGTTGCGGCCGACCTTGGACATAGTCGGTGAAGTAGTGGCCACTTCCGTCAAATTGTGCGCCATGAAGCCAAGCACCACCAAGCGCGCCTTTGCCGATCCATCACTCTTCCGAGTGAGTACCCAGCGCATCCTCATCAACTGCTCCGGTTTCACCTGGAGCTCTTCCTGCTTGGTCAGGTTCCTCAAGGCTTTGCTGATGGCCACCTGGGAGAGCTCTTTAGCCATTGCAAGGTCAAACTCCTGCTTCTCGCTCAGAGGAAGCTTCTCCCATAAGACTTCTTTGCCCTTCTCGGACATCTTCTTTGACAGCCAGATCGCTCCTCTTCGGCGATCCTTGTTCTTCGACAGCCAGTCAAAATCCTTTTCGTCAATGTCCAAGTGACAAACCAGAAATGTGTCCTCAGGCTTCGAAGCACTCTCTTTCTTCTTCTTCGCTGGAGGTTTCTCGTTCTCTTTCATCACCATGAGCTCCTCTTCTCCAGACGACATGTCCTCAGGCTCAGAGATTGAGGAGGTAGAGGACGATGAAGCGTCATCGATTGGGACCTCAGCTCCAGTTGGTGCTCGGCGCCCTTCGTAGAGGTCGTACATGAAAGTCTTCCCATCACGGTCTTGGTGATGTCCCGGATGTCCTCCGTGTAGATCACATTCCGGTACTGGACACCGGTTGGCGCCTGACTCACCTCTTACTGGCATGCTGTCCACCATCTCTGGTCCCTTCTCTCGAAGAGCTCTCTGCAATGCTGTGGTAGTAGATGATGAAGGTCCTCCAGGTTCAGGTGGTTCTTCATCTGGAGCAGGTTGTCCTTCAGCTCCATCTCCATCAGGCTCTCCGGCTTCGGCCTTTCTCTTTTCACCCTTCTCTCTTCTCACACGCGCCTTCTTCGCCGGGGATGCCGAGACAAGTTCGAACCAGGTCTCACCCTTCCAGCGATCTTGCAGTGTCCGTGTCTCGTCGACTGTGTCGTGCAAGGTCACTTCGTCTCCACCATGTAGAGGTCGAACAATCGTCTTTCTGTTCCCCTGCAGCTCCTCTAAGTTCACTGGGCATTGGGCAACCCGAGATGGACTAAACAAGGCTAATCGTGGTAATTCATGATGTCGGATCAGGTATCTCTTGCCCTCATGCCACTTCACACTCCAGGAATCCTTTCCTGCTTCACAGGCTCCAGCAAGGGCGTGGATGCAGAGAGATCACCACGTTGTAGATCCTCGCTGGGAACATCACCTGAAATGTCCATGTAGTATCGACCGCGAAAGCTCCTCGTGAGTGACTCCAAGCTCACCGGAACACGGTAAATTGCCGTGCCCTCCAATGCCGCATCCAGGGTCTCTCGTTGACTTGTCGGCCTGATCTGGTTCACCTTGGCCCGAATGAGCGTTGCTCCAGAAACCAGCCATGCAGTCGATCCTTCCATCAAAACCAACCGCAAAGGTCCTGTCCATGCTCCTTTGATCTTCCCAGGCCGAACTCTCTGTCTCCAGACCATGACCAGTTGACCAGGACGGTACTGTTCAGCCTTTCGGCCCACGGCATTGGCCAGCTTGCTGAAGCGGTCGCTTGCTCTTCGAGGGTCAATCCCTTTCAGCAACTGTTGATCATCAAGAACTCCACCTCCGGATCCAAAAGCCCATTGATAGGCACTGAACCCACTTGGGCCGACATGGCTGTTCATCGCCGCTGCTGCCATCATGTAGAGCTCTGGAATCTCAAGGTTGCTCCCTTCTCGGATCAGACGATCCACTGTCTTCTTTGCCACTCCAATTGCTGACTCCTCAAAGCCCATTAACCAGTGAGCTTCGGCAGGGGCGACGGTCAGTCCCACTCCAGATCGGTTCAGGTAGTCCATGAAGGCCTGACTGGTATAGTATCGTGCGCTGTCTGCCACGATCCACTTAGGCATCGGATAGACCATCAGCCACTTCGACAGAGACTTGATCACATGTTGAGTGGTTGGGTTCCAACTGCCAGTCTCATAGCGGGCCAAGTGGTCGATCATGGTCAGACCGGAACCGCGGTCTCGCCATAGGATCAGCTTGTGTTTGACACCGGAGGGCTCCTCGTGCTCGAAGACATCAGTGCCGACGTGCTCATAGATTGGTGGAATCTCGCCAAGGCTCGTTGGAGGTCGAGGACGTGGTTGTGAAGCCTCTTTGCATTCAGGGCACTCAAGGTTTGCCGCAAGCTCAAGAGCCCATCCAGGAGATCCTCTGGCCTTGAGCAACTGCACCAGGTTCGACATGCCAGCATGGCCGCTAGCTCTATGCACCCTGAGCATGAGTTGCTTCACTGCCTCCAAGCGTTTTCCAGTAGGCGCCGTGCCAAGATCTAGCCTCTTTCGACTCAGTGCCAGAACATGCTGTTGGTCTTCTCCCGGAGGTAGTGTGGTCTCACCAAAAGGATCGTCAGGTCGAACCTCATCACATCGTCCAAGCAAGGTGCCGTTCATTCCCTGCTCATTCTCAAGCAAGTAGACCTCCACATGACGCTCCAGGCTGTCCTTCCCTTGTCGCCATTCATGCTCCATTGCCTTCAGCACAGCTTTGCACATGGCCGAGGGGTAATATGATGATGCCTGAGCTGCCATTCCTCGGCATTCTGCATGCTCATGCGATCTGTCGCATCTTCGACACAGAGTCAGCCACAAACTCCTCGATGTTGTGAGTATTGCCCATGGTTTGAGGACAGGTTGTTCTTGCCAGCGGAGTCCATATGCACATCCATCAATGCGTACCCAGTATGGAGTTCTCCCATGGCGTCTCATCATCTGCACCAGCCGACGGATTGGTCTGGATCTCCAGCCCTCATGTGCCGAGGTGGGCCACTCCCAAGCGACATCATTCCCGGAGGCGATGACCGCTCCAGGTTCTTCACTATCTCATCACAACGTTGTAGATCTCGTCCACGTCGCTTCAGGAAGATGTCCCATTGCTGAGGTGTTCTCTCCGTGAGGTTCTGCAAGTTGGAGACTCTGGTGCACCTGTATGAGACCCATGCTAGCTTGGGAACACAGATCTGGATTCTGCGACCCACCGTGCCACTGCGAGTGTCAAGGTCGTAGCCCGTCTTGAAGTTGATCCTCTCTCCTTGATAGCCGGACTTCTCGAAGATGCCTGTCAGGGTTGACTCTGGCGAACAAGCGATCTCCATGATGTCCACCGCAGGGCCGACCGTCTGCATCAACTCCTTCACCGGCTCCATCACCGTAAGAGAGAGCGCTGCAGCCACCGCCAATCTCTTTGCCAAGGATGGCCGCACTGTCTTCTTCACCATGTGGTTCGTCTCGGCAATCTCCCTCTCCAGTGAAGGTGATGGTGTAGTCATCGAAGAAGATCTTGTCACAGAGCTCAACATGCATGAGGTACGGTCGTAGGCCGCCTCGCCTGGAAAAATCCTTGCCATAGAGCTCATCGAGCAAGTGGCACAGACGTGGTTCGTAGTGCTCGTAGTGTCTGGTGGTTGAGGAAACTCCTCAAAAACAGGTGTAGTTGAACGTGTTGGGCTCATGTTGGAAATTAGAGGATTGTCGCTCTCGGTGGCCTCCAGCCGATCAGAGCGTCCGACCATCTCGGTCGATTCAGCCGCCATCATCCGGCTTCGCAGACTCTTCAAGGACTCCCACAATGCCATTACTCGGCCTCCTGGGCCTTCTCCTCCGGCTCTGTTTTGATGGGCAGGATCTCTCCCTTGCTCACTTTCTCCAGCAGTTCTCGTGCCGCTTGGACCTCGCTCGAGTCGACCACCGCCACTGAGGAGGACACTTTTGAGCTCACGCTCATCGCCTTCACACTCTGCAGGTCGTTCTCTTTGATCTCCTCCTTGGTCAGGTCGGTCTTGATCTCGGGCTTGGCCGAGGGCTTCTCCGGGGATCTCTTCCGTGGTGAGGTCGTGAGGTTCATCTCTTTTGATCCCGGGTATGGTGTCATCGGGCCCTGGCTTTGGTGACAGGTCGAACTGGCCATCAAGGCTTCTCCCAATTTCTCGTCTGCCGGACCTGCACCGTTGCTCGCCCCCTGCCTCGTCTCCACCAGTGAGCGACCACGGATCTCCATGAGCTTCCCGTTGAAGATCTTCTCGTTGATCTCGTGGGCCTTGAAGGTCTCCTGCAACTCCATCTGAGCCTGTTCCACCTGGTCTGGTGGAGGACCAATGGCCCGATAGTCGCCCGTACCAGATCCCTTACTGGTGTACCGGAGTCGGAGGCCGCAATGTCCGCAAGTCTGCCAGCTCGCCGTCTTGTTGGCTCGAACTGGGCCGGGAACATGGTGTCCGTGACATGGCCATCCGGTATGCCTCGGATCCAACTCGGTCGCCGGTAGGCGTGGCTTCATTCTCCACAGGGATGGAGGTTCGCAGATCGTCGAGCCTTCGAGCCAGGTTGCTGAGGCGGTCGGACAGGGAAGATTCCGGTTCACCACATGCCAGACAACATCAACACTGAATGCTCATTGACCACGGCTGATTGACAATCTTCATGCTGCAGGACATGTCCGTGCGCATCGAGTGAAGCAGGCATAGTGGGAACAGGTAATGCATGCTCAACAGTGCTCCCAACAGTCTCAACAATCACATCATCATGACTTCACGCACAAGAGTTGACACTGCCTCAGGAACCTCGGAGCCTCCAATCTCACCTTCATCCAAGTCAATTGGAACACGATCTGCAAGAACTCCGACTGCGCACCTTGTTTCCTCTGGGTTCTTTGCTTCCCCATGAGGGTTCGGAGGGGCACCATAATTGGTCAGTGCCGAAATCATCTCATTGTGTGGAGAATCTGTTGCCCACTGAGACGGTGTATAATTCTCTTCTTCAAAGTCGCTCTCAGGATTGGGCGTGATAGGTGGCGGTCGAACTGGAGCAATGCCGCGTGTGGCTGCCTCCCTTGTCGCATGCCTTGCAGTAGCAGCCACAATGTCATTGCCAGGATCCCTGGTCTTCTTTCTCTTCCTCCGACAAGTTCCATCTCCATCACCGCCATCTTCATCACCATCGTCATCGTCATCACCTCCAGGTGGATGTCCGCCAACTCGAGGGTCGGTGTTGATCCTCCTGATCAGGTGGTGCAGCGGGATGCAGGGTTCCGACAGGTCCAACACAAGATGTCCACCTCCAATGGTCTGCAACGTATTTGCCCACCACTTTCCATCAGCTGTTCGGTGAGCAATGTAGTCCCCGTGGTAGGAGATGACTGCCTTGCGTGACCTCATCGTCTTCCGCACCACCATCAAGCAAGAAGAAACCAACTCGTCATAGGGCCGCTGTCGTCAACATACAGTGGGAGGTGGCTCTCTGGTACTCACCGTTCCCAAAACGGAAACGCGGTCGCTGGTCGATGGTGATGTCGTAGGGAAACCAAAGGGAATCGATCAACCTGGCCATTGCCCGAACTCCTGACACCGATTCGGTGGCGCCTGTGTCGATCACCACCTTGGACATGGACATGTTCCCCGATATGGTCTCGTCTGCCAAACTCAGAACATTGACCTCGTACATGTCATACTCCTGGCCGAAGTCCACCCAATAAACCTTGCCCTTGCGACCTTTGCCATGGAAATTGAACTCCCCGTGGATGATCCTTTCAGGGATGACGAGGCAGACCCTTTCGATGAACCTTTCGACCAACGGTCAGGGCATCGGACGCAGGGACCATAGGAAGTGCCACCATTGCCCTTGCCTTTCCCAAAGGGGGATCTTGACTTGCCCTTGCCCTTGCCCTTGCCAGTGGGGTTCCCCTTCATGCCCACCGGGTTGTAGTAGCCTCGAGCCGCACGAACTTGAGCCACTGCCTGTTTGGCCTCAGCAAGGGTCTTATTCGCTTCAGCTGCAATGGTGTAGGCCTCTTCAAGCCTTTTCTCACCTTCAGTCTCTTCTGGTGTCGCCTCATAGCCTTCTTCTTCTCCATGAGGTAGGCCATCATCACCAATCATGTAGTCGCCCTCGTCGTCGACATAGTCCCATGCCGAAGAGGGAGACCAGTCGCTACCCCAGTAGGCTTCTTCGCTTCCCCAAGTGGTGTCATCAGCTCACCAGTCATCCTCCCATTGATCCCATGATGGATCCTCGGCGAACCAAACAGTTCTCCTCGCCAGGCGTCCTCCAGCATCATCACCGCCATCAGCTCCGTCAGCAAAAAGAGACCTCAGTGCATTGCGGATCAGCTGGAAGTGGGTGCTGTTCCTGGTGAGCGTCATGACATGTTGTTTCTCCGCTGCGCTCAACTTCGAAGCCTTCAACAATCGGTAGCCTCTGAGTTCGTTCTCAAAGAAACCAGCATTGTCGAGGGTCGGAGGACCAGGATCACCTTGTCGTTGCTCTTGAGCTTCATCAGCGTCACCACCTGTCCGGAAGGCTCCACCAACATTCGGAGATCTCGTAGGAGAAGTTGGAGGGTCTCGCTCATCCGCACCAACTGCCATGGAGCGCACCTCATGCTTCAACCGTTCAGCTCTTGCTCGTTGAAGCGCTTGTTGAAGTTCAACAAACAGTTCTTCTTCTCTCACCAGCAGTTGTGGAATGCTCTCGGAGGCCGCTCTTCTCAGACCCGTCCATTTCTCCAGTCGGTTGAAGGAGTCCGGAACTGGAAGCTTTTGTAGTGGGCTGTCCCGAAGGACACTCAGCAGCTTGCCCATGGCGCCCTCCGTGGTGAAGGAGGTCGGATCCAGGTGCCGGACCACGCTCTTCGCTGCTCCGCCCAGCCGCTGCCAAACCCGAGGCGCCGCCAGCTTCCGCTCTGAGTCTTTGAGACTCGCTTCGTACCACCGGCACGAGGTGGCGAAGCCTTCGAACCCAGCAGGGTCCCCGTCCCATGTCGGGACCTCCTCAGAAGGCATGACTGCCTTCTCCAAAGCCGCCAGCAGCAGCCACCGCAGCAGGATCGAAGCCAGCCGCTCCGCCTACCATGCAATCGGCCTATCCCAAGGCCAACACCGCCCCACCTAGGGACACACCACTACCAAAGTAGCGCCACCTTTTGGCTGCATGCTCGAGCCCCACCGCTGAAGGTAAAAAGGGGCATGTACGTGTCATGTGCAAGAACCGGGTGCTCACATATATATATTTGACCTTGTCTACAAACCTTAGCCACCTCAAAACTCCCTTTTTTGAATACTCACAACATCGGCTTCTTGCCGAAAAGTCTCGGCTTTGCTTGTTGCTGAAGCTCCAGATTCTGCCCCAGAGACAGATATGGCCTAAATCTAGGTGCACAAGTGAGCTATGGCCGCCACCACACAAACGCACAAAGAGCACATGTACTTTTGAGCCGACTATCGAGCTCTCTCAGATAAGATGCAAGATGTCCAACCGTAATGCCTTAGTTCATATTACACATCTGGCCATCCAGTAAAATGTATATAGTGAAATTATGGATACAACAACCAAGTTCCAAAGACAAACCAGCCATGGGCTCTAACAAGTATAACAGAGTCTTAACAGAGTGTAGTTCACCGCGAAAGGTTGTTGCAGTTGCCCCAAGAAGACAAGCTGCTGATGAAATAGGCATGGATCGGCGCTAGGCCAGCTGCAACGGCAAGGGAGATGCTTGGAAACAACCAAGATGGAAGCCACACAATGACCTGCTCGAATTTGCAAAAGCTTTCAGCGTTGCGGTTTATTTACACTATAATAACTGAAACACGGGAAGTTCATGCCAGGCGGCAGCTCCAAGTACTTCCAACAGTGCAACACACATCAAGCTCCTCGCCGTCAATTGTTGTCCACATTATGAAGAGTGAGCTGCAAAGGTACAAAGCTTCTCACATCTGGAGTCACAAAAACACAGGCATTCCTGGGCATCTTTGATGCTTTTGCCGGGTAGATCAAGCATCTGGTCATTGGCAGAATTCCTAAGCAGGCCTGTCCTCCGGAAATCAGGCTTTGGCCGTTTCAGCCCCTTTAACATCACAGCTGCAACCAAAAGTGCCATGGTACCACACAAGAGGAATGGCATCGAAATTGCTCCTGTAAACACTCAGGCAGCCAGTGTGCACTCTCTCTGTCATTGTGTCAAGGCCTGACTGAAGCCCGTCTTTCTGGTGAGTTGCACATGCACATAAGTCTTTGTAGAGACAAACGACTCTACCAGTACATTCACAATTCCAGTCTTTTCGATTCCACTCTCTGCTAGCCTTGCCGCCTACTATCTCATGCTGCTCCTAATGCACGAAATGCCACAGCGTATAGTGTATGGCAGGCTGCCAGGTCAGATCTCTGCCGCGACACTGTGAGGTTTTGGAGGCCTTCAAGAGAGATTCAAGAAAATTATGGACATCAAGAAGCACGGAAAAAGAGGAACAAACACATCTTCAGTGCTTTCACGCAAAGAAACCAGCTCCAACGTCCTCAAAACTCCATCTCTGCCGCGCCTAGTGTCTCGACCTGGCAGAGTTCTGACTCGCCTGGTGGGTGCACAGTCCAGAATCCCAAACCTCAAGATCAGTGTATTCAATCTTCACAATCGCCACACCGACACCTGGAAGGACCTACAAGTAGGATCAATATTAATCAATTCGCTCCTGCTTTGTAGAGTACTTCTGATGCACATACAATCCCATACGTGGTTTTAGCTGTCTCTGAATGCCCCATGCCTCTATCTTGACACGTGCAATGCTGCATCATCTCAAGCGTGCGATGCACTTCCTGCCTGCAAACAAAAGGAGCACTCCCAGAACAAGCAGCACCAGAAGTACAAGTTCGGCAGCTGCTGTTGGCCAATCGGGGGAAAATCTCGTTCCAAAAGCCTCGGAGAAAATTGTCGATGTGTCCAATTTGATCCCTTCAAAGCGTCGGACCAACATCTTTTTGAACCCTTTGCACAGTCGAAATGCTTAACGAAGGTGTTGACATTATGTCGTATTCGCGCCGCTACGCGGCTGGGTCTGCCCCGCACTGGGAGAAATGTCTGATTGTTTCCATCATTGAAACCGTTGGGTGCTTGGGAAGCCCTGCATCGAACCATATGACTCAGAGACAAAACTATGGTCAGGGTTCTACTCAGCTTGACCTTGATCATGGGAAGAGCTTGCGTGCGGATCCTTGCCGGTGTTGCTGCTTCTGGCTTGGTGGTCTGCTTTGCTGCTGCTGCTGCTGCTGCTGCTGCTGTTGCCGCCTGCTGCTGCTGGCTTCTGGTTGCTTGCTGCTGCTTGCTGCTCTGCCGATTTGCAGCTGTTTTTTGTGACAAACTGCTTTTCAACAAAATGCTCTGAGTGCTATACTATATATATATAAATATAAAATGAAATACATCGATTCCCACCGTCCCGGTTCTACCTGGCTAAAGCGACTCCCTAGCCAGCTAGAGCCGTACCATGAAGCCGCTGGTGTTTGTTTATGCCAGTTCTACCTTGCTATTTTTCACCAGCTAAAGCTAAAATCTTGCGATTAACTATGCTATCCGGATACACACACACGCCCCAGCACCGTCAGTGCGGGCGGATCTCTTTTTTGTCATGAACATGAACACCTTATGAAAACCACTCTGTCTCGCATCAGGGTGTCTCATGCATGCCCTGGCCGATTGTAAAGGAAGTTGATGCCTGTTTGGCCAGTTGGCATGACATGTGCCCGGTTGAAAATCCTTGTGCAATCTGGGCACCTCATCTGAATCTGATGTCGTGGCGAAGTCACCGTCCTTCATGATCTTGTCAGAGCTCTTTGCTTTTCATCTTCACGTGTCTCATCGGTTTCATCGAGGCGCAATGGGCAACATTGGCTGCTTGCATGGAAGGTCTGACAGTAGGGTCCTCTACCAATAAGTAAACCCATCACATTGCATACACAAAGCCTTACATAATGAACATCAATGCAGTTGCCATTGCATTCAACATCTTCTAGCAACAGGCTCGCAGCTCACACTCGGAGGCTTCACGGCGGCACGTGTCTGTCAATCAATGTGACAATCCAATTCCAAGGCCCATTTCAGAAACCCCATATAGTGGCAAAAACACTGGCTTATTGCAACATGTTCGGTGATTCTGGAATCTACAGTATATTTCCCGAAACTTGCACAATACATACACACAGCAGCCTTCAAAGACTAAGACACCTATCTGTTTGACGGTTCCTTAATTCCAACTCAAGGCAAAGCAGGTTAGTTTGAGTTGCCGGCAGCTTAATTTGTTGAGGCTGCAGTCTGGTCATGGTGTACCTTGGTCACTATGCATCACTTTGCTTAGTGACAACAAGGACCTGTGGAGGTTGACTTTGTATCCATGGTAACAAGAAGGACGCTGGCTGAGCTCGCTACAAAATGGATGCGTGCACATATTCCTGTGGCCCTTTTAGTGGACCACAGGCTATGGAAAGGAATGTTGCTTGGGCGAAGAGAATTTCCTGACAAACCTGCGTGTAGGTAGGGTTGGTTGTAGTGCGCTACTGGCGTTGTTGATCGGTTCGCCCAAACGCAACGTGATGTTGCTTGGTCATGCCTATGCATGGCCTCGAGCTTGCTTGGCTTGTTGATTTGCTTCTCTGTCTCAGCGGAGACAAAGGTGAGAAGACTTCTATCAACAGCCAAACATTATGAAACGCGGTTTGTCCAAAGCTCAAGGCGATTTCCTCACACATACAGCAAGCACTTTCAAGGGCTTGCAGGATATACCCCTTGTGAAGCACCAGGCCATGGGAAAAAAGCCAGCAACCCTGGTTCCCGTGAGTCTCTCTGCGTGTACTAACCATGTATATATATAATATTCCATGCATTTTTGTGCTATGTACATTCATCAGGAATCTGGCGGACACCAATGATCATCCAATCAACCCTGCGCGTGCAACAGGGCTTCATGGAGTGTATATTGCCTGGTCCGTATGGGGTTGTAACATCGACGCATACGTCTCATAGAGACCTGCCCAGCCAACGGCAGTTCACTGCCAGCTTCTGTACTGAAGATACGTGCTCAAGATATTATCGTCTTCTTTCGAGCACTTTGTCTTGTCGCATACTTGACCCTAGAAGAGCAGGCTTTAGGCCAAACTTCTACTCAATCTTTTTTTGTGAAGTTTTGACTTGACAAGAATCAAGAGAGACCATCATCATACCTACTTTAGTGTCCTGCATCCTTGCCAGCCATGCTGAGCTGAAGAATCTCAAATTTGCCCCTATTGGACGAAGACTTCATTGACATTCATTGACATCTCCACAAGCTCAGGCATTGATCTTCTGGCAAGGTCTGCTATGTATCCTCTCACACCGTTAGGCCTCGCAAGCAACATTGCCGTTGCAACATGTTGCAAAAAGGCAGGGCTACGTTACGTAAAGGGTTTGGATCAACAGTTGTCTTCCTCAAAACGTGCATCATTTCAATTCTGTGATGCCAAATGCGAAGCAGGCCGGAGCACCATACAGACCATATGCTTGGAGGTGTCAGGAAAGCTCTTTAGCATTGTCAGGACTCAACAATTCACTTTCTCAAGCCAGCAATTTCTTGAACTATCACTGGAGAACATTTGCAGTTTGCAAATAGCACGTTGGTTTTTGCCAAGAAACCCAAGGGCGCCCAAGGCTGGCACTGACCGCTACCTCAACAAACCTGACCTCCGAACTGAACTACAACTAGCAGCGGAACCAAGGATACACAACGTTGGCTGTGGACATCGCGGTGGTATCTATCTCCCAAGTTGAGTAACTGCTCCTGCATTGTCATGATCACCCAAAAAAGAGACCCAAAGATCCAAACCATGAAACCGTGGTCCCACCTCCTCCGACTCCTCTGCCACGGGTGAGACTGCTCCAGCTGCTGCCTGCCACCAGGAATGCTCTGGTGGGCAACAGCTACAACTCAGAAAAAAAAAAGACACACTTTGCTTGCCTTCGGGCCCGACTTCAAACCAGGCGCAACTGCCTGCACCTGAAGGCAACTATCAAAGCCATTCACGAAGGCGCTGTGTTCTAGGAAGATTTGCGTTGGATCCTTTTGTGAGGAGCACTGAAGTTCAGAAGCGCGAGCAAATCTGCTCTGAACCGCGGTTTGCATGGAATTGTCCTTGGGCTATAACCTTCTGCATCTGCACCCGATTCACACACTTGATGAGATTATGATTAGATTGTCTTCCAACATTGTGACATCATACAATGCACACCTATATGTTGCAAAGTCTTGGTAGTAAGTAATGATTGCCGGACCAACACGGACCAACACCGCAAACGAGCGGACGTTGAGCAGCCTCAGTCTGAAAACCCAAGAGGTATGGAACAGAACAGGCATTAGCGGACAACACAGGAAAAGGAGGGATGGTGCGCCAGCGATTGCTTATGCCCAACGCTCTCAACCTGATGTGCGAGATGCGGATGTGTATGCATTGCACTGCACTGCATGGCTTAGCTTGGGTCATCGAACTGGTGCCCATGGCCGCTGGAGCAGGTGCTTGAGCTGTGGCGTATGCTGGCTACATATTGTAGTTTATTCAAAAGTATACAGCATCTGATTGGGATGGTGATGTGGTATGATGTGGTCCTATTCTCAAGATTATTTCAGCAACAGCTTGCCACTGGTCCATGGGAGTGTGGAGTTTTGGTGCCAAAGGCTGACAAGTTGATTGGGTGCGAACAACAAAGCACAAACCGACTCTGGACACCATGCTGATGCTGATGCAGTTCAAAACAAACGCTGCTTACAAAGACCTTGTGCTGGAACATGTTGGAACCCAAATCAGGAATCATCAGGAATCCGATCACATCAATGTTGCAAAGGATCATGGCAGGGTAGTCAGAATTTTACCGTAGGACATGACTTGTGGCAAAACAGGAGCACAGGACTTGACCAAATAGGCACAACAAATCTTGTTAGGTTTCAACACCCATTCTATACCAGAGATGTCAGAGCATTCTATATGTTCGATACCACGTCAGTTTCTATATTTGTTTGCGCCTCAATGCCCGGTGGAGCACCAATGCCACGTGGCAAGCTTGGCGTCGTAGGGGCCTCAGCACGCCACATCGCCCCTGCAACGACCTACAACTTGCTGTGACAAATTTCGATCATGGCATTGGTGTTTTACTAGCAATGCCCTTGTTACTAGTAGCGATGCACTTGTTACTAGTAGCTTCTTGTCACCCAGAATTCGAGAAACACTATTCAGAAACTCACCACACTGCATTCAATACATTTAATTCTGGACGTCAAGTCCATGCTGAGGCGTGAGCTGCAGGACGTGGATAGCTAGCAGCACCCCATGCCTGCGCTCTCAACAAAATCCTAGCCTGGTGAAATGAAGAACCATGGTGATTTGTAGCTCTAACACTCTAAGATATACGTTTGCTGTTACTCGTCTATGTCATGTGTCTATCTACCCGCGGTTTAAGATGATTGATGTTGTAGGGCGGATCCAGCCGCCCTGTTCAGAATTCTGTAGCTGTAGCATCTATATGCATAATGCATGGATGCTCAAGCTTGCATGGACAAGTATGGATGAGGCATTCTGCATGTGCACTCCTGAGCGGAGCTGCCAGTAGCCACGCGAAGCTCCAACGCGTTCAACCTCATATCGAGTCTTGGCGATGGCCCCCCACCCCTAGTGTATTGTAAGATATCAAAAGCTTAACCGCCAAGATCTCCACTCAAATGTCTCTACTCGGAGTTTCTTCGAACAAAATTATTCAGTATCATTCTCCGTCTTTGTCCACCACGGTCGTCATCTGTATGTGTGACCATTGCATCTAAACGTTCTATGTTAATGTGAATGGCGCGCCTCTCGAACAATGGCTCCAACTTCCTCTGCTTCCTTAGTGGTGCCATCCAAAAAGGAAATTTCTTGTCTTTTGCATCCTCTTGGAGAGCAAGATCATCAAGGTGGACCACTGTTCTGTTATATCACGTTTCCTTACATGTGTAGGAACCAAATCATTATATATATATATATTAGAGCCTGAACCCCAGCCTACATCCTGGCGCCTAAGAAACTACCAGGTAATAAGTCGCTCTGCGTCTACACTCCGCTACTGGCCTTACAAAACGGACAAAGGATGGAAACCGTGCACTTGCTGAAGAACGCTGTTTGGTTTCCAAGGGGCTGCTGCTGCTTGAGCCTCGCATCCAACTGTCTTAGCTGTTGCTGGATCTGGCGCGCGGAGTTTCCGACAATGGAGTTTCAGCGTTTGGATGCCCCTGCTAGCTCTGCTAGCTCTCCACTCCATCAAACCCATGGTCACAAGACATATCATATTACACATCCCTAATTCGTACTTGATATTATTGTAAACGGAACAAGGTGATCATTTTGACCGCACCGCAGGGTCTCAGCCCGACCTGGGCCGTCGTTCACAGTGTTGGGTACACTTCTCGATTAGTGCCGTTTCCACCAACAGCACACACGATTCACATCGCCCCGCTTTTCTTTTGGTCGAAACCTTTGAGCATTTTAGCTCCAATCTCGAATGAGGTCCAACATGCTTTTCACATGCTCTTTCTCAAAAACCTAGCGTGACCCTTTTTGGTGAGAGAACCCGAGATCATGATATCCCCTGAAACCCAGCGCAGCTGTCCTCTGGTGGTCTGAAGGTCATTCTTCAGGATCGTCAGGTCTATGGCGGCCTGCTTGTCATCAATGTGTGCCGCCACATTCGTTGACTTGCTCAGGTTGTCAAAAGAAGACCTTGAGCCTGTAGCCGCGACAAATGGTGTCCTGCTGACCCCTTCCTGCCAGTTGTTCAAGGTCATCCGAAGTCCTTTAATTTCTGATAGCATGAATCTCAATCAGTAGGAAGCTCCGACTCCTTGTATCCTTGCTTGAGCTTCTGCTGCCAAGGTGTTTACAGTGCATCTCTTGAGCTTGCCCAGCATGGAGATGGGTTGTGGACATTGTTCCACTTCAAGGTCCTTGTCATGGGCAAACACAATGTCTCTTCCTTGGCCATGCGTTCTTCCAACCTGGAGGAACTTCTCATGGATCTCGATCTTGGTCTTCGAGGTCTGTTTCATGAAGACTGTGTGTCCCATCCATTGTTGTCGAACATCTTGTCTTCGATTCCATGTGTCCTCGTCGACAAGCTCTCATCAATCCAGGTAGCTCTTTCGGCCTCTAGATCATGAAGTTGTGGTCCTCCGTACGCCGCTCCTGGATGGAACATCAGGTGTCGAGGTTGAACATGATGTCTTATCCATAGATCTCCTCGTTCTTCCCAGAATTCTTCAGTACGTTGCTCCAGTTCTTGGCGTGGTGACTTTCCCAACTCGCATCAGAGGCTGACCCGATTCGGATCTTGTAGAACTCATTCGGGGCAATGATGATTCCTGCATTCACTCCTTCCAGCCCTTCTTGAGCTAGAGCGTTATCTTCTAGTAGGTCTCGGACACATCTGGACGTGTCTCCTTTGCCAACTATGCTAAAGACCCCAGCGATGCCCTTAGTGCGGCTATCTCCTCGCCCGTGCAGAGGTTATGCTTTTCTTGTTTTCTTTCTTTTGAGATCTTGGTGATTTTGATCTTCTCCTTCACGTACATCTGCTGGTGGCCTTTGATCTTCCCATGGGGCAAACATGCGATCTCCTTGCCGACGAATCGTCCGTCTCCACTTGCCGAGCTTGTAGCGCCCCTGTATCCATTTCATCATTTGCCAGTGCCTGGGGCCTCCTCCATGCAACAGGTCGTCTGTAGCAACCGCAATGATTCCTTCTAGTTTCTCGTCTTTCATTCGTTTGTGGGTCCTCGCTGGATCTGGCTATGGTTATTCATATCCCAACTCCCGTAGTGTTCGCTGCAGGTGAGCATACCATTGCAAAGGTCCATCTAGCAATTCATAGGGGTTCTTCTTGTACTCCAGGCAGTCCTTCTGCTGGTAGTTCTGCAAACTGGAACGTGAAATGTGATCTCCACTGTGAAATGCCTGAGTGAAGTCCAGGTATCCTGGGGTCCATCTTTTGGATCCGATCGTTTGGAGAATCAACAGGACGGTGTCCGGCGATACCTGTGGTGTTGCCGCTTCTAACAATTCGGAATCTGGTTCACTGAGTCCTTTCATCGCATGTCTTGCTTTTGCTTTGAGCCCACCATGTTCATCTTCTCCAAGAGGCCTTCATCTTTGATCGCGGGGATGTCGTCCGGCTCAATCCTTGTCTGCACCAGGACAAAGCGGGACCGAAGGATGTTGTGTCCAGCTCCTCTTACTTCTTGTGACTTTTCTGCTGATAGGACCTCATAGGTGCCAGTTCGATATTGTTCCCCACTTGCTTCTTGATTGTTTAGAGAAATTCCTGTGGCCATCTGCAGTAGATCTGTTAACCTCCAACTGATCTCCTCCACAATCACGTCCAGGTTGTCGTTACCGACGCTCTCGTAGGAACTCGCGAAACTCATCACTATCAAACCACCTCGTCCTCGAGGACCATGTAATGTAGCCCGGTGAGGCGTCCGCATCTTCACTTCCAGCACTGCGAGGAACAGGATGAGCTGGAGGTTATGGTTGTAGACGGAACAAAGCGATCATTTTGACAGCACCGCAGGGTCCCAGCCCAGCCCGACTTGAGGGGCCTTCGTTCACAGTATTTGGTACACTTCTTGATTAGTGCGGTTTTGACCTCCGTAACGGAACACACGATTCACAATTATATATATATATATACACAAATGATTTGGGATGATTTGGGCACGTCCTCTGTGGAGGCTAGCAAAGGATTGCACAACTGCTTTCTTTGATCATATGTGACTATCGAACTACTGTGATGATTGTCATTTCTGGTGCTATATAATGGAATAGCGCGGCGAAATGGTGCTGCTTTGGTCTCCGCTGCAACTGAGACGATGGAGTTTGACAATCGATCAAACGTGACACTTAAACAAAAAAGTATCACTGCTGAAGCAGTCTCTGTTGCACTGAGAGGCATCGTAGATCCATTTGGGATGTGGCTCTCTAGAACTCTGGAGTTGCTGGTACATGTTGGTACACTACATGGCAAGTTCACTGGAACACCAAAGGCCGCTGCTTTGTGTGTTTGAAAGGTGCATTGAACGCCGGGCTTCGTGCTGATGGTTTCATGGTGGTCAAGTTCGGGTGTGTTGAACATTACGCCTACACCAAAATGGTGATGTAGTGTCTATACTAGGTAGAACCGTGTCCAACCCGCCTCATTCGACTTAGACGAGCTGGTTGTCATCTTTCCGCAGCGCTCTCGGAGGGCATCGATCGTGTCCTGTAAACCAAGTCTGAAAACAAGAAAAACAAGAACGAGAACCACAGATCCTTAACACCTGCAATCTCATTTGATGTCATGACGTGTCACGTTGTCATGATAGACAGTGGACAGGTGTGAAAAGCACGTTCACAAACAGCTCAAAAGGAACTCTCAACAGTTCAAAAGCCCTGTGCCTTGTGATGCTTTATCAGGTCAGCATTGTGGTTGTGTGCCAAGATCGTTTGATGCAACTCCTTGCGACAACAGAACATTGAGCCTCGAAAGAACAATGTATTTATGTATCTGTATAGAGATGTATAGGATCTAAAGAAGCCATGGAACAAAGATGCAACAACCAATGATAATCAGATCTCATCTCGCCCCCCCTCTTTTTGCTCTTTCGCAACACCTTTTCTTGGGAGGATGTCGTTGAAGACCTCGAGCAAGTTTGCAAGCTTCCATGGGCGTCAATCAGATATCTGACAACTGTCATAGTTACTGATGTTACTGTATCACCAAGAAAGCGCCAAGGGCCAAAGGACTATTTTCAAACCAGTCCAATTCAACTTTACCATGCCACAAGTGAAACATAGATTTTGAAGCATCATTCACACCCACACACTACAAGGCCATCGCTGGGCACGCGCAGCGACCTTTGTCACTTCGAGCTTCCATCATTGACCAAGTGCACAGGGCAGGGGGCGTCCTGCCACGGACAATATCTGCTGCATGTGATCTGTACCTTGTAACGCCTCTACATGCAATTCAGGGATAGCGACTGTCCATCGACGATGTAGTTCTTGCTGACGTTCTGAAACTCAGGATGCCATCTCCTCACAAAACCAAGAACCATGTATATATATATCTCTCTCTATTGATGTATATATATACACATACAATCCTCCAATCAACATGAGCACATTTCCAAACACCAAACCGCTAAGCTTGTGCAGCAAAGCGACAGGAAGCTGTCGCTCTCCTTACCCTGCGGAAAGGGAGTTGTCACTACGAAGCATACCCTAAGTCGCCCTAAGTGACATGTGTTCAATCTTGAGAGGCGCGGAACGGGCTCAATCTCCTGAACCTAAACGGTATAGTGCGGGGACAGGGACAGGGGTTCGTTGCGAGCGCTAAGAGTTCTATAGAGCGAAGATACCAAATCTCAAATGTAATGATTGAAACAACATTCAATTATGGCTTGTAATTGTGTCTCAAACAACAATCAACATGCAATGCACCCCTGCCAATAACCCACCACACAGACTGGAAACCCAAAAAAAGTTTCATAAACAAAGACTGACTTCAAGTCATTTCAACAGACAAAGCATCCTAACAAGAATTGATAAGAATTGTAGAGAGGTAGTTCTCTAAGGCGAGCAATGTGCTTGTAATAGACAAGGATAGAGAAGGTGTCAATCAACAAGGGCACATACCTTAAAGCTATGACGCTCCCCTGAAATCGGCACTCTTTTGCATGTGCTCCGTTCAAGACCATCCCACCTGCCGCGTCTTGCGCTCGTTGACTGTACACTGAGCATCAAGTCAAGAGTTGCTTCTCTTCGCGCTGGTGTGCAAAAGTTTGGGCTTCAACGGCGAAACTGTCGCAGCCATGGAGGTGCCTGCACTGGCTTTTGTTCTGTCTCCGCGTGAGACTTCTCTGGACTCTTCTCCGCACTCCTCTTGGGTGGTTCAAATTTGCCCTTTGGCTTCTCCTGCGTCGCCTCCGCTTTACGCGGCGACATGTCAGCAACGGAAGGGATCTCCAAAGGCGAACCATCTGGCAATGCGCGGCTGACTAAGGACAGCTTTCGGGTGCTTTTCGAGATCACATAGAGCTCTTTAGCAACCTTTCGCAAGAGATCACGATTGTGACTGATGAGGAGAACTGCACCACGAAACTCGGTCAGCGCGACACATAGAGCATCAATGGAGTAAATGTCCAAATGATTGGTTGGCTCATCGAGGACGAGCAGCTGCGGAAGCTCCATACATATTTTGGTGAAAAGAACTCGCATTCGTTGACCCCCTGACAAAGTCTTAAGGGGCTGAAACACAAGGTCACCTGTCACTCCAAAAGAACCCAATTGCTTTCGAAGGTCCAATTCCTTTTTCTTGGGATACAGCTCTGCCAGCCATTCCACTGGAGATGCGCTAGTATGAGCGAGGGCATCAGTGTCATGTTGATGCAAAACTGAGACCTTCAGACTCGGATGCCGCCAAACATCTCCCTCTGTGGCTTCCACTTCACCAGTAATCAGTTTGACCAGGGTGGACTTGCCAGCTCCATTGCGACCTTGAATGGCAATGCGGTCTCCTCACAAGTATCAGGGATGGGAAGAGAGACCGTCTAGGATCATGATTGAACCATAATAACCATACAACTACATATTAATACATCTACGATGATCTTGCTTGTGTAACCCAACATGTGCGAACGATTCGTGGCGGCTTGTATATAATATAAATAGCTGCCCTTGAGTATAGGGCTAATGTATTTACAGTATGATGTGACAGTATGCGAATGTCGTTGTGTGGATTCTTTTTGGTGATCTTGCTTGTTCAACCCCCTTGGTAGAGTGGCATATTTTCACCGCTGGCGAAAGTGCTTGCATTGCTGGTGGTTCGCGCCACTAGTGATGTGCCGGGCTCTTACTGTGAGTGAAGTGTTGACCACTTCACCAAGGGTCGGTGGTTGGTGTTCATAAGTGGGAAGTGCTGACTGTTGCTGCACCACGTAGCGTTTTGAAGTGTGATGAATCAGTAAGCGATATCCTCCTGCCGCAGCACAATTGAACATGCTACAGAGTTGCAGCCACGCTGTGCCGAAGGACACATCGAATTTGAAAGCCGTGGATGAGATGGCCAAGGAGGGAAGCTGAGACCCCTTGTCAGAGTTCTAAAGATGGCCCATTCGAAAGCCTGTCGTGAAAACCCAGTGGAGCGTTTCTGTTTGTCATGTGTGCCCAAACTTTTGGCACATGCAATACATCAACCTTTTGTGGGTAGCCTTGCAATTGCTGTACGGGTCAACGCCAGTGTCTAATGGTGTTTGACTCATTGACTGAACAATCAAAGAGTCGAACTGCCACTTGTGCAAAATACATGTAAACAAATCCACAATGTCTCCTGCCGATACCGACAAATCCACCTCGTTCAATGATGACTCCTGACTGTTGGGGTACTTAAAGGTAGCAGCTTTGACCTGCAACAGTGAAGTGCCATTGGCAACTCGAGCACCATGACCCGTGACAAAGCCAAACCTCAACGATGGATCTTGCACGTGCAGCAAAGGTGCGGCCGTCATCTTTCCATCGACCCAGCCACCCTCATTGTCTGCCATCGATCCAGCACGATTTCCATGCTCAGAGCTCTTGAACCGTTTCCCATCTTCCGTTTTTTCCATTCCCAGGCGCTCCAGCTTTTGTTGCTGGCAGCTCACCAAACTTGAGGTGCCCTTGCTTTCTGCGTCATGCAATATTGCATATTTGTTCTTAGACTTGTTTTTTGCCTTGTTCTTTTGTGCGCTGGCAACTTGTTGCTCCTTATGTTGAATTGTCTGAAGAATGGAATCCCGCTTTCTTTCTATAGCTGCAGCCTCGCGCTCCATGTGCCGAGCCTTCTCCATTGCAGCCTCCTCAAACATGTCTAATGTTCCATGAAAGTACGTCAAAGCCTGATCAGCAAACACTATGATGTCTGTGCAGACTTCATTGATAAACTCTCGATCGTGCGAAACGCAAAGCACAGTGCCTTTGTACTCATCAACCAAATGTTGCTGCAGCCATTCAATCGCTCCCAAATCCAAATGATTTGTCGGCTCGTCCAACATGAGCAACCGCGGTCGTACAAACAGTGCAGCAGCAATTGCAACACGCACCCTCCAACCCCCACTGATCTGATCTATTGGCTCAGTACATTGCGCCTCTTGAAACCCCAGACCTTTGAGCAAAGACATTGCGCGGGTCCTCCACTCAGGTTCACTTTCAGCTCCTGAGTCGTTCAATTCCGCGTAGATTTCGCCCAGTCTGTTTGATGCTTTGTCTGCTTGGTCACTTTGGTCAGTGCAAATCTCTTCCAACTGCTTCAGCTCTTTCTGCAAGGAATAAAGACGGTGGTCAGCCCTCAGAACAGTCTCGAGTGGTGACACAAACAAGTCCATGCTCAACTCTTGGTCAACCAAATACGTGGTGAGTGACTGTGGCCAGCCTTGCAATTCACCAGAGACGATAGCACGCAACAGTGTCGTCTTCCCACAACCATTTCTTCCAAGCAACAAATGACGCCCGTTCTCACGAAGCCTCAATGTCTTCTTCAAATGTGCTGATGAGCTTGCCGACAAACCACTCCTGTTGTCGGATTTCTCCAGTAGCTGCTTGGAACCGGCCGCTAGATCATGCACAGGAAGCTCGAGAAGCATCTGAAAAAGACAGTATGATTAATGAACTATACAATACACCAACCCTTGAGCCACAAAGCTACAATGATTCCAGCTGGAAGGCTCTCAGACCTTGTGGAAGCAGAACTCGGATGATAGTGCCATTGCAAGCAACACAAGCTCTGTTTCGCACTTCAAGACTTACTGTGCACTCTGCGTGCCTTTCTAGGCTTTGAACCACGGCCACTTGAGAAACTCTTGGAGAACAAATGGCCAACCTCAAACATCTGCCGAGTCCCATCCAAAGTAAAGACTGCGTGACAAACTTGTATTGAAACATTCCTGCAACCTCGTCTCAAGCGGAATGTTTCAAATCATCATATAATCATTTTGCACAGTGTCCAATATTTGAGGCAAGCGTCAACGGTCGAGTTGTTGAACAAGTCAGCCTTGGCCGTCAGCTGATCTGAGCACATCAAATTGACGCTCGACAACTCGAGACATTTTTCATCGAGAAAACTATTCCTTGCATACACAACGTGTAACTCAAGATCAACATCTTGAGGCAGCAGCACAAGAGTGCTTCTCCTTGAGTGGTTGAGAAACATGAGTGCTCTTCTGGTGGGAACACGGGAAAATTGGTTTGACAAATTCGCCCTTTTCAACTGACGATGCAAAAACAAATCGCACGGGCAGCCAAGCTTCCCATCCATGCAAAGCATTAAAGAAGTGGTACAAGCCCCTTCCAGACCGTCAGTGGAGGATTTTCGATGTTGCAAATGCTTGTGCCCTTGCCTGTCAAATGGCCTTGCCACTTTTTTAGCGTTGAATTCCACTTCCGCTTCCTTTGAGCAGCGTACAAGCGGCGAACTCCATCAAAATCCCCTGGTCAGACAACTCGCCAACTCAAGCAACATCCCGACCCTCTCGTCCTCCATTTTCTGCTTGTGCTCCAAAACAAATTCAAATCGATCTGGGTTGAAAGATTCATCGCCGCTGAAGCCTTGGCACTGACAACAGCTACACCGTTGGAAATGGCTGACAAGTCAGGCTGACAACCCGGCAGAAGGCAGATTTTGGTGGTGAGGCGGCAAAGACCTTGTGAGAAATCTGCTCACCCAGTCCTCGAATCAACTCGAATCGAAAACCACATAGAAAGAGCACGGTAATCGTTTTTTTAAGGAGGGGTAGGCCGCTAGTAGACGAGGTAGGTGAGGTAGCTAGTAGAAGAGGTATGAAGAGGTAGCTAGTACCTACAAGTAAGCTACTACCTATGGACGCAGGATAGCGCTCGCTCTAATGATTTGGTTCCTAGATTTTAGGGATACTTAACTATATTAACTCAGCATGTGCTCTTCCACTCAGCATGTTGCGTACATCACCAAACAAAGTAAGCGTCCTCCCCACGGGATATGGCATTCCTGTTTGGTGTCGTCAAAACCTGACATTCGCACTGGGGAAATAAACTCTTTCACTGAAAGAAGGCACACATGCAGAAAAAACATGAAAAAGGTAGCGACCCCTTTAACAAGGCCCCCTTTCAGCCTTATAATAAAGGGGTCCTTACCTATATATCCGTACCTTCTTTTGTCTTTATAGAATCAAACATGTCCGCCCCAGTGCAGCTGGATCGCAGCAAACTTTCTCAAGGCCCTTTTCGGAGATGTTGCAATGCTGAGAAACCTGATTCAGACATGGAGTAACATTTTTGGACCAAACTCGTTAGCAGCTGCACAGGTTGAAGCCAAGTGGCTGCAGCCTTTTGGGCTTCCCACACGGCAAGGTGAAAACTGCTGTTTTTCCGACCTTTGGCTGAGCGATGTATCGCAGTCACGGTCGTCCAAATTTTGCGGTGCCTCATCTACGTTCGACCAACAGCAAAATTCTTCTAGCCTTCTCTAGATGTGAATGGAGATGAAGAGTCCATGATATCTCAACTCGCATCTTTCAGATACTCTCTTCTCATGATCCATGCCTCCCAAAAAGTTGGAGGAAAAGCCTGGGCACATCGGCGAGAATTTGTGACCGAAGCCACAAACCATATTGGCAAAACACATGCATGCTTTGGAAGTCCACTGTCTTCAAAATGGCTTCAGTCCAGAGTAGCCATGCTTTGTACTGTTTAGGTTTCGTTCTCTTGAATTGCAGGTTCCATGGCAGCTAGCATGCACAAAACCCCAAAGGCCCCATAAGCACATCTCCGGGCAAGGAACATAACATAAGACACCAGGCTGCCCCTCAGCTCCTCCCCTTGCCTCTACAGTCACTCCCATCTTGTCCATCGCTATAAGAAACCAAATCTAGCTTCTTCACTTTTTTCACCTTGGTTTTCGTTTGCTCACATTTCCCACTCCTAGCATCATACACAACCAACCAGCACATTGTCTAGAGTCTAGATCACCTCTCAAGAATTCGACTAATCTTGCACAATACATTGAGCTCAGGACAATTTGGTCAACATCTTGTATGGTCAGCCTAACATACACATGCACGTGGCCAGCAAGTGTCTGTTAAGTCAGGAGCCAGGTTTACTTTAATACGCCTATCATGCCAAGAATTGCACTATGAATATGCTTTGGGAACCACTGGCAACCTGCTATTGTGCGAACATTGACTACTGGATCCTCTTTTAACATTTTAGTCCCTCATTGGGTAGGATTGTTCAATCAAAGAGTATGAACTTTTTGTACATTTTCAGCAGCTGCTCTGACGCAAAATATAGAAGCAACCAAACAACCTCCAACACAAACACAAGCAAGCTCAGCTGCAAGAGATGCTTCAACATTCTGCAAGCAAGCTGCATATCGAAATCGATATACACCCCACCATGGTGATGCAAAACCTCAGGTTGCTTGATGTATTTGAAGCACGGGCATCCATCGATGGTGGGATTAGCATATCCAGTAGAACTTTCGTCCAACGTTTTTGTAGGGACAGCAAGTTTCGGTAAACATCTGGTGCGAGCGCTTGTTCAAGGAATCTCCCCCCCGCCTGAGGGCGGGGGGAACTTCGTTGAAGAAGCGTCAGCTATCCTGCGTCCCAGCAAGGAGCTTCCTATTGCTAGTAGCTTACCTCCTTACAAAATTATATAAGTAGGCGCCTACTTAACAAGTATGGGCGGCCTTACAAAAAGCTACAGCTACACCTCACACCTCCTTTATTTACTTTTTTGCTCACCTCACGGCCTTACCCCCCAGCTAAGGTTCTGGCTGCATAGCGAATGAAGTCCGATTTGGCCGCCGGATAAGGCAAACGAAAGTACTCCTAAGGAATCGAACGAACGAAGGAAGAAACATGTTTTAGGCGTTGCATTAGGATGCTTTTAGACGAATCCGTAGAGGCGACGGGGATGTCCATTCTGGAGAAAAGCCAGCGGTATTAGCATTTAGCATAGACAATAAGCCACTTTTTATCCAACACATCTTGGTGAACCTGCTGCTGTGAACACCGCAATCTGAATCTGTTGCTGCTCCTCTGGTAGATCTGGCACAGCCTCACGGACATTTTCGTCAGTGATGAGGAAGGGCTCGTTGCAAAAACCGTTTGAATGACGTCGCCAGGCTTCCAGTACCTCCAGTGCCAAACGTCCAGTAACAGCATGGCCCTTTCCCTTTGTTCCCCAAACCTCCAACCTAGACGCAATGGCCTCCAACCTAGAACGAGAAGCTTCCAGTACCTTCATTGCCCAAAACAGCATTCTTAGCCACTCAATCACTGCGAGTGCTGGCTACGGCAAGGCTGACACAATCTTCTCTTGCATTCCTTTGGGCCATGGAATACCTATGCATGCAGCAGTCTTAGGACTTGCGCTGGTTGATGGATCGCAGCGGTGTTTGTTGCTTGCAACTTCTGTGTGGATTGGGCTTGTGGATGTTCGGAACTGGGACCAAGTATGGAAGGGCCTGAACAGCGTCTACGACATATAGAATCCCCAAGTGGGGATCGCACATGCGCATGAACTCCGGTCATCTTTTCCCTTTGTTCCCCAGACCTACCTTGCATCATCCCTGGCTGTGCTGGCAAACTTGTCAGTTCTTAAGCACCAAAGATTCCGACAAAGCCACCAAGCGCTCGAAAAGAGGCTGCTGCTCCAAATGAGACCTCTGCCAAGGCAAGTCTGCTATTAATAAACAGAAGCTCTGAATCTGACAGCTTGACATGCAAGTGGAAGCAACAGAACAAACGGAATGCCAAAGTGGCATTCAAAATTCCCAAGTAAATGCCAAAGCACGGCTTCTCCCAAAGGCTGAAGATGTTGCACTTTCCAGGGTCTGGTCCAGCAGCTTGTCCCAAAGGCTCAGGTTCCTCGCACCAGCTTTTTCGCGCCATGAATCAAGACATGGACAACAGTTAACGTCAGGATATGTCAGGTACCATCCAAGACGACAAGACGAGTGGCTAGTTGACCATCTGCGCTGGTCGCAAGCAGCTCTGTTCCATGGTGTTTGAAGTGCTTTCGCGAATGTGATCCTGAGACCGGTACGTAGGACGATGCTTTCCCAGCTGAAGTTAAATGTTGATCTCTTAGATGATGAACCTAGACCTAGATGAACATAGTCCTCAGAGTGAGGAACATCTTTGAACTGTTGAAGACTTCACCGAGCGTCTGATGAGGCCAAGAGAGGAGACCTTGGAGTGATTTAACAATTTTGACAGGGGTTGTCATCAATTACAGAACACTTTGTGACTGTTTCACAAGTCATCGGTATCACAACATGTTTACATAAGTTACAGAATGTTTGTCTTCGCTTTCACAACATGGACATCGGTAACACAACGTTGTCATCGGCTACAGGACGTTTGTGATCGGCTTCACAACATTGCTGCGTGAGGAATGGAAAGCTTCGAGCCATCTTCACTCGGCATCCGCGTCTTGGAACTGCCACTGCTCTGCAAATGACAGTGTTTTCTTAGGGGCAAACTCCCCCGCTTATCCAACATGTTGCAAGGGTTGCTTGTGGGCTCATGATGGGCATTCTGCGGTCTTCGACGTCCATTTTCAATATTTTTCAATAGTAGCGCCCTTGCTCCTAGTAGCGATGCCAGGAGCCCCTAGTAGCTTCTTGTTACTAGTAGTACGGCCAGGAGCCCCTAGTAGCGTCCTTGCTTCTTTTCATGTATGCAAAGGCCCTCTGGTTCGTTAAGAGGACATTGTCTCTGTAGCGGAGTTCTTCTTTACGTTGCTCCCCAATCTGGGATGTCTGTCTATCCCGACCAACCCAGCACAGCGAGTTTCAAATGGTGGCTGATATGTGCGATTTCTGGCAAAGGCCACAATTGCGTTGTGAATCGTGAGTAGATGTGTTTGGCATGATTTAGATGCTGCCATGAAGCACTTCGTTCCTCTGCCCAAGTTGAACCTCCATCAATCTATGGGCTGAAGTCAAACTATACACGTCAAAGTTCTGGTTCAGAGCATACAACTCAGTTACTTGACTTTAAAACACGCCAGGATGAACAATCTTCACTGCTTGAGGCATGATTTGACAATTCCAAACAACATAAACAACATTCCCGCCTGAGAAATATAGAAGGGTCAATGCCTCCAGCGAAGTTCTTTTGAGAGGCTTCTTGCAAGATATGAACACTAGCGGTCAAAATTCTCTAAATCCTTTGTTTGGCCCTTTTTCATCCTTTCCAAAGGCCAAGTAACCCCAAGGCGCGGCCAAAGCATCGCATCGGATTTGCGCCGGGTGACGTGACGACGTCTAGTGACGTTTGTGTGTGACTAACTATAACACGTGACTCGTTTTGCTCTATTTGGCCAAGATTGAACACGTTTGACAAATGCCCTTCACCAGTGACTATATGATACTATATGGCTCATATGACTATAGCACTGCTTCTAGCACTGGGGCAGTCGCTTGCCTTTCAACATGTCAGTACATGTCAAGAGCTGATGCTAACATGAAACTCCAGGAGCGCTTCTCCGGAGAGTGAAACCTGACGTACAAGCTTGAGCAGTCATGATGAATAAATATGCCAACTCCCAATTCACTCTACAGTTTTTGTTGGGCTTCATTCGCTTGATCAGCACTAAGACACCAGAATTTTGTGAGAAGCAAGCAATGCAGTCCTGCTTCAGAGTCCTGCGCAAGTATTTTGTTTGTTTCCAAGTTTCAATTTTCTCCAAACAATCTGGTGCATTGTGCACGGGTTCTTCACTGCAGTCATCAGCTCTCCTGATCTCCTGGCCCCACTGTTGCTCAGTCTTGGAGAGGAGTTGCGCCACGGCCTGTTTCTAAAGCTCGTCCGCTCGTCCGGCTCAGATGCTGTTTCGCCCTTTTTCTTTTGTGCCACACAAAGCCGAACCATGGCCTTGGAGGCCATCGCTATTAGGTTCCTTTTGCCATTAGGTTCATTTGAGATTGCCTTCCGCCCGGCCCCTGCCTCTGCCGTCAGTGTGTCTGCATTTTCCTGCGGTTGGAGGCCTCAAGACTGAGCGATGGGACATGTACAGTCTTTGTCTAGCTTCGGATATGTAGCAAGAGTCTTCACTTCTTGAATTCCCCAGATCCCCAATGCCCTAAGATCCTAATTTGATCTAATTTGAGTGTACTCAAAGGCACTTATGAGGCTGTGGCCATCAAGGTGAACCAACATCTGATCCAGCCGCTCATCCATTGCCACCATGGTCTGGCCTGGGATGTTTTCATCGCTTTGAAGCCCATGTTGCGAGACCAGAAAGAATGGAACGAGACTCGTCTCCACAGCTGTTGTTGCAGCCGTTGCTAAGAGACCGGTCGAATATGGTCGAAACACGTTTGCGCTGATACAGGGGCTTTGAGGATTGACAGAACCGCATCTCCGAGGCAAGCATGATTTAAAATTTAGGCCAGCTTCACAACTAAGCTAGATACGGATCTGCTTCAACTCCATTTTGACCTGCGCAGTGTGCTGAGGTGTACTTTTCAGCCCCACCCGTGAGATCTCTAACCTCCGGCCATTTACAAATCGATCAATAAACATCATCTCCTGCACGACAACTCGCATGACACATGCTCTCTTCCTCCCTTCCTCACTCTTCATCCTTCTCATTTACGGAAGCAAATTGATGCAACCAGTGCAACCCTTTGAGGCCTTGGTTTCAGTATCGACTCGCGCTTGCTCGATCAAGCGTGCAACCTGCGCCGGGGAAAGCAATAGATGTACAGTCTGTATGACAAGGCAGGGTACAATTGTCTTGCATAAGAGATTTATCCCAAGGGTGGAGGCCATCACTATAATAAGGGTGGAGGCCATCGCCATCGCTAATTAGGTTCCTTTTGCTATTAGGTTTAATTCTAGGCTACAGCATCTCTTGCAAATTGTGCAGGGAACACATTCATGCTTGGACTTGTCCATTTTGACCACTGTAGATGTTCTTTTTTCTCGGAAAGGCCAATACCACCTCGTCTGAAAACATCGGCAGAAACATCGAGAAATTGTGCGCGGAAGCGCCAGCAGCTTCCCCAGGCAGTTGCAGCACCTGGTCTTTTCTACCGGTGTTCTTCCAAAGCCATCTATCTCATGTCTCCCCACATTGTTCTGCTGGGTCAAGGGCGTCTATTTCTATCAGAACTACTGAATGCTAAAGGCAACACAGAATCAGTGAAATTGCCTGGGTTCTTTTTCACATCCGTGCTGGCGCTGCTGGCCTTTGCGGGTGTTTATTAGGAAGACACCTGGCTAGCAAAACAACTCCAAAGCTCCAGGACACTGCTTGGAATTCTACATGGCTCGGTACGAGCTACCCAAAATTTGCTGATGCGGCACCTTCCAGACTCAGCATCAACGGGCCTTGAAAAGGGACTCGTCCTGCCAGCGACAAATGGCTAGGAGATCCTAGACTCATGCAATGAATTGCTACCCCACAGTACTCATAATATTCAACTCTGTGACACTTGAGAATCTTTGCATCATGTATACCACACACAAAACGAACGTCCAACCCCAACTGCAGTGTCTCTCAGAATCCCATTGAAAGAACTTTCTCTGTCTGTCTTTGTTTAGAAGCCAACACAACCTGCCTGGCAGCAGGACCTTTCCCTGTTCCCATCTTCCGTCACTGCATCTTCACTCCATGAACATGAAACGCCCTGGCCAATGCCTGCGGCCACTCTGCGCAAAAGTCGGAATTGCCTGGCTTGTGCCTCAGTCCCCCAGTTGTAAATACTAGCAGTTGGCACCAACACTCAGACTAAATAATGTTAAATAAAGTTAAATACGTCTACAAGTATATAGTTCTTTCTTTAGCGAATCATTAAATGGAGCACAACTCGCTCAACTCGCCATGTTCTTTTTCCCGAAAGCATTGCGAAGGGTTCTTCCGGAAAATCCCTTGAACACTGACACTTCGACACTTACACTTACACACTGACACTTCCACACTCACACACACACACACTGGAAGAGCGAAAGCATCCAAGTGCGAAGTATGCCAGTGCAAAGTATGCAAGTGTGAGTATGCAACGATATGCAAGGGTGAGTATGCAAGCATGCAATGAGCATGCAAGCATGCAATGAGCAGGCAAGTGTGAGTATGGAAAACTAGCACGGGAGATGTCCTAATGAAAAAACATTTCCCCACTTTATAAATTCTCTCTTAAAGGCGGAGTGCGGGACGAACAGCGTCAACCGAAAGTGCAACCCTCTGCGGAGATCGTGCGTGTCGAGTGCGCGAAATGCAGGCGAGAGTGCGAT